GAGATAGAGATAGAGATATAGAGATATAGATAGATAGATAGATAGATAGATAGATAGATATATAGATAGATAGGTAGATAGATAGATAAGTAGATAGATAGATACAGAGAAAGAAAGCTGGAGGGAGAGACATACAGAGAGATAGATAGATAGGTAAATCGATTACATCTTCTACTAAAGTTGAACTCTCAAGCCGGTCCAGCCCCGGACCCAGCTGGGATGGAGCAACCTCAAGGGCTTTGGAGCCTGGACCAGCGGAGTTCCGTAGCAGGGTCCTTGTTAGGGCTCCTTTAGGGTTTCTGTAAGGGCTTTAATATAGCAGGTAGCGACTTCAACAAGCAGAATGGGGCTCTATGAGGCTACTATAAGGGCTTTTTACAAGGGCCTTGATTAATAATTGGAATGGGGTCTAGGGGAAGATTGCACTATGTCTAATAGGGTTTAGGCTTCAGAGTTCAGGGCTTTTTGTACTCTCGAAACTATTTAGGGCTTTCAAAATTTAGGGCTTTGTGGCGTTCAAGCCTCATATTACGGAAACTCCGGAAGTCGAGAAAGTCAGGTTTCGGACAGATCCAGAGATCCAGGGCCAGTACGGTCTTGTTCGGATCCACTAGGTAAGGTGAGGAGGGCTCCAGAAACAACCGAAAGCCGAACCCTGCAATACTGCCTGAATCAAACTGCCTCGGCGGGCCCAATCCAGACACAGCAGGAACGGACCCTAAACCTAAACCCTAAACCCTATAAACCCTAAGCCCTAAACCTGCAGACCCTATATCCCGAACTTCTGAGGTGCCACAAGGGGGATGCAAGGGTTCAGGTCTGTAAGACACCTATCGGTGGACGCAACAAAAACAACAACGTCAGGGAGGCAACCCCAATGCACGTGTGTAAGGGTTACTAGGATAAGGACTACGTGGGTAGGCACCTGCACCTGACACTAAGATCCAACAGCTGCAGAGCCACGAGTTCTTGCATACGCCAGGGCTGTTGCTTGCAAAGGATGTGCTCTGCACCCTTCAAAGACTGAAGGCCACACCTTGCAACGCTAAAGCCCTAACATCGGAGCCTTAATAATTAGAATAGGGTTTTGGGGCCCGTTATACGTCAATTATAATAAGGACCCCCCCCAAATAGTATTGGTAATTATTTAGGCCGTACAATCATAAACCCTAAACCCTAAAACCCTGATGCTTAAGATCCAAGCAAATGCAACTTTTGGTGCCTGCTTGATGATGTTCATCGCGAGGCCCACTGCTCGACATGCCATTGGATTCGGAAAACGACGAATTCACGTTCACTTAGAGCTGATTCTTGGCCGTCTTCTTAGTACGACAGGCCTTCAGAAAAAATAAGGAATTTCCAGCTCGCAGCTGTCATGGCTGAACATGCTTGATTAGGGTGGTCGCGATGCTATACATTGCCGTCCTGAACTCCAAGCACTAAACCTTAAACCCTAAACTTTTGCCCAACGTAGGGCTTTTGAGGGTCCAGATGGAAGCGAAACTCATGCGACCAGGAGGTGTTGAGGGTGGTGGAGGGCTAATTGTAGTAGCTTGTAAAGTAAATCATCATAGCAAGCATCACATGATGATAGTAACAGAAACATCAAATAGTATCCGTTTAAAGTTGCCATATAGCTCCAGCAAGATATACACCGAATGAAAATTTCTACCTACCCACTACTATTCGTGCCTGAAAACAGCTACCGGGCACAAGGCCACAGAGCTGCCCAATCCGTGTCGAGCCAAGTTGAAGTTTGGGCTTGCTGTGATGCTTGCTTGAAGTACTGAATCTCAGTATCGGGCTTGATAAGCTTCGATAAGGGTTCCACCAAAGAGTTTACGAGCTTGGTGTGAGTGCTTCGGCTTGGCCAAGCGGTACCAGCCACTACCAAGTCAGGTCACGCTGTTGACTAACTGGAGGTGTGGCTTCCAAAAGACCGTCATTATCCCAGCACAAACATCACCCCACTTGCTCCCGCCTGCCCGCTGCATCCATGCTTGGACAAAAACAGTAGCACCCTGAGACCTTTTTGAAGCGCCGCGAGTCAGGGTACCCCTCCCTGCCAGGCTGCGGAAGGAACGCAACTTGCTTTGCAAGGCGCGTCTGTGCGAGCAATAATCAAAAAAAACAAAATTTGTTGCACCAGAGGCCCGGCATGCATCTCAGTCATGAGCGATCGAAGCTGGGCAGAATTGAGACGATCTTTAGCGATACGGATCAACAACAATATTGATTTCCCTGAACTGGGGAGTTATGCTCCGCAGGAATGGATGCGGTGGGGCCTAACATGAAGACAAGCATTCCAGCTGTGGCAGCGTATCACAGTACAGTGACAGTAAGAACTCGCTAGCAAGGACGACAAAATGAACAACGACAGCAAGGTTAAGACAGCGACGACGACAACCACGGCAGAAGCAGCCGCATCAGCAGCAGCCGCAGCAACCGACAGCAGCAACAACAGGCAGCGGCAGCAGTAGTGGCAGCAGCATCACCAGCACCAGCGCCAGAGCCAGCGCCAGCGCCAGCGCCAGCGCCAGCGCCAGCGCCAGCACCAGCACCAGCCACAGCAACAACCACAGCACCAATGACAGTGTCTTCACTATCACAATGTCTGAAGCTTTCAAATCTAAAACTCAACCCCAAAATATGCAAATGCCCCGAAACTCCATGCGTATATATATATATATATACACATATATATATATATATATTTATTTATTTATTTACTTATTCATTTATGGGCTGCGCCCCCTAGTTTTTTGGCAAAAACTGAACTCCAACAAGTTTGACCTCAGACCGAACTTATACACCCAGCGAAGGTTTATAAACCCAGGCAAAGTTTATAAACCCTTGATCTCCTTGACTCTGAACCAAAACATACCCCGCGACATTTCCTTGCCTTTCTGCCACAAAAAGCATGTGAACCCAAACAAGGACGACACACACGGGGATGACACGCACGTGGCAAGGATGACACAGCTGCACAAATCCGGTTTTCAGCTGTGCGCTACCCCAGCTTCAGATGTTCGAGAGCAGTCGCCTGCTGCAAATGTCCAGAGTTCACTCTATCGCAAGCAGTCGATTGCTGCATGCGCCCCCATTAGCCATGGCAAGTCCATGGAACACATCGCACATACTGCTTCCTACATTTATATAGAAAACGTACTCATCCATTTCGGATGCATTGAGTTGGCGTTTTCCATGACGAGTTCTAGACCACTTCTTCAGTCTATTGTTCTCACTTTCCGCGTCATTCGTGTGAAACCCAGTCGAGGGATCGCGAAAGTGCTTCTCGTGTTTTACGGGTGGAGCAGACTTGTAGCCAAGGGAGTTGACAGCCTTTTCCGTTGCACGCCAACCATCGAACACGAGGAAGGAACCTTTTGCCACATGTTTCTGAACAGTCGCCTTGATCTTATCGAAGCCGCGGGGCTTGTTCTTGATAGCCTTTTTGTTCGAGGGCAAGAGTCGGTATGATGACTTGTTTTTTCTTGTTGCTGTGGGTGTACACTGCATTCTTAGCCTGTTCTTTTTGGGGCGCTTGGCCGGTGCAATGGCGGGCTTCTTCATGATGGCGGGCTTCTTCATGATGGCAGGTTTCTTCAGGATGGCGGACTTTTTCATGATATGAGCTGTGAAGGAGGAGGCAGGTCTCTTGTTCACGATGAAAGGCGACGAGGAAGAAACTTTCTTCTTGTGATTTAAGAGTGCGAGCAGGTAGTCGCTTCATTGCCCCGGATTCAATCATCTTGTTGACATTCTTGCATTCGGAGGATCGATTTTGCTCGGCCCCCACCTTGTTTATAATTACCACGAGAGCCATCCTCGGCACGCACACCCACCACCGCCTCATGCATAACTACTACGTGGTGCTTGCCCAAAGCTTTCTGATAGACATCCCGGCATTTGGCAAGCGTCTGTCGCGCAATGTTGCCGTACCCGGCAAGGATCTCGTCAGTGATGGACGAGAAATTTCTTCCCAACCGTAGTAAGTCGATCATATGCAAGAACGGGAGCTAGCTATTCACCGGAAACCAACCTGCTTACATGTCCAGCCGTTCGTAGTCCATCCTCTGGAAGTTCTCATCTCAAACCGTGCTGGTTTTCCGCATTTGAGACACTTCTTCACGCCGAAAGCAATGCCGTATTTCAAGAAAATCCCGACGGCACGCAAAGGCAGCGATACCAGATGACCGTTGCCATCAAGCACTGGACGATGCAGGATGTGCATGCAAGCCATCTTCACGAGCACGCTTTGGCATGAGTTAGGCTATGAATGAGCACTAAACAGACTTCCCATGAGTTTCGTCATGTTGTCTTTAATGCGATGCGCTTGAGAGAACCATGCACGAGTATAGCAGTTTTTGTGGTTCCCTTCACGATTTGGGCCGTCAGTCAGTGCAAGGAGTGGTTCTTCTCTCTTCCATCCCTTCATAGCCTTCAAGAACCAAGCCTTGAGCTTCTCTTGGAGCATACTATTCCACACACCACAGCTCCGCGAGCCGCGTTTGCGCTTTCCTGTAGATAGTTGATATGCACTGCCAACTGTTTTTTGGAGATGCCTTTCTTGCTCTCATGTACAACGATGGTGCCATTCTAGATGTCATGGATTAGCGTCTCTGGCTTCGGAACTGGAGCCATTTCATCATCTGCCGCTGTAGTGCAAATTGATGAAGACGCAGGCGGGTGTGTGACATTGGACAATCTAACTATACACTCTCCGCTAGCAACCTCGAAGGTTCCGACTACGGCTGCCTTTCGCAACATGACATTAGCGCTTTGGTTTTCTACACTGTGTCTCCATAGCTGTACTGGCTTCACGACTATTGACTGCATATGTACTGAGCAAAAGATGTGTTTATAAACACACGGCTTCTTGATCTACACCTGGTAGATGGCAAATTGTGATTGTACTTGTTATGCTTGCTTACTGAAGGTGGGGGGGGGCCACATGCAGACGAGGCACACATTCTTTTTAGGGATCGGGTATCTTTACAAGACAAACGTAGTTTATAAACTGTCTCCGCCTGGTACCGATGTACTAACGACTGTATGTGCATAAAGGAACAAACAGTAGATATATGGAACTAATCATACAACAAGCAGTACCCAACTATAGTATATATCAGGTTTTCGGGATTAGGGAACCACGGCGCATGACGACAACCAGGCGGCGGACCTGAGGCAAGGAAGCTTGAAACCATTTCACCATTTCACCATATTCCCCCCTGTGGTCGGGCCATTTCGCCATTTCACCAACTGGTTTGGCCCTAACCCCAAAACCATTTCACCATTTCACCAATTGGTTCCGACCCTTTGGGGGAAAGGAACGGTGAAACGGTGAAATGGTGAAGTTGTGAACTGGCCTGACCATATGGGGGAAAGGAATGGTGAAATGGTGAAGTTGTGAACTGGCTGACCATATGGGGAAAAAAACGGTGAAATGGTGAACGGGCCTGACCATATGGGGAAAAAACGGTGGAATGGTGAATGGGCTTGACCATATGGAGGACCTGAGTGATGAAATAGTGAATGTGTGACTTGCTGTGCGAGATCACGAAATGAAATGCAGGGGGGGATTTAACATTACCCATATTTATATACATGTATATATATAT